CAGCTCATGCTCCCTTCTGATTGGAGAGCTCTGGCTGGTACTCAGCAGGAGGCGGGTCAGATCTCAGCAAAGAGATCAGCGCTTTCTCACGGAGAGCAAGGGGCGCAGTCTATAGCAAGTGGGTAGGGGACAGGCCTTTCTTCTCTGGCTGTGGTGCTTTTTAAAGAAAACCAGCTGCAAGAATTTTCACACTTATTATTTTTATGCACCTGGAATGTATTTGGCTGATATACAGTTGTGCTCAAAAGTTTGCATACCCTGGCAGAAATTGTCAAATGTTGGCATTGATATTGAAAATATGACTGATCATGCCACAAAATGCTCTTTTATTGAAGGATGATGATCATATGAAGTCATTTATTATCACATAGTTGTTTGGCTCCTTTTTAAATCATAATGATAACAGAAATCACCCAAATGGCCCAGATCAGAAGTCCCTGCCCCCGGATCAAAAGTTTCCCTCCCTTGGAATGTTTGGCCTTGGTACAGACACACAAGGTGACACACACGGGTTAAAATGCCAATTAGAGGTTAATGTCCCACATCTGTGGCTTTTTAAATTGCAATTAGTGTCAGTGTATAAATAGTCAATGAGTTTGTTAGCTCTTACGTGGAAGCACTGACTAGGCTAGATACTGAGCCATGGGGATCAGAAAAGAACTGTCAAAAGTCTTGCGTAACAAGGTAATGGAACTTTATAAAGATGGAAAAGGACATATAAAGATGTCCAAAGCCTTGAATATGTCAATCAGTATTGTTAAATCACCTATTAAGAAGTGGAAAGTTTGGAGATCTCTTGATACCAAGCCAAGGTCAGGTAGACCAAGAAAGATTGCAGCCACAACTGCCAGAAGAATTGTTCAAGATACAAAGGGAAACCCACAGGTAACCACAAGAAAAATACAGTATTATAAATATAAAGTAATATAAAGTATGGTATATGGAAGTTCGTCCAGGACCGAACAAAGGTTGTGCAGCTCTAATACAAAGCTGGGGAAGCTTATATAAACTGTAGTAAAGAACAAAAAACAGAGCGCACCAACCTTGCGCATTACCTCAGTAAGCAAATTGTAGATTTATTGATATAGGAAATATCAGGAGCGGTCTGACCATTTGGAAACTCGGGCACTGCCCGAGGGCCTGGGGTCAGTAGGGGGCCCCATGAGATGCCCCTGGTACCTTTTTCATAGGCTTTTTGAGTTTGGGCAAGGACACAGGGGCCCCATGATCCCCTATTGCCCGGGGGCCCCTTGAGTTGTCAGTCCGCCCCTGGGAAATATACTCACAAGAGTAGCAATACAACAGGCATATAAAATCCCAGAAACGAGTCCCTGGATTAGGAGACACGTGCGAATCCCATCAGGAGAGGAGACTCTCAGGATGAAGCTGACGGGTTTCGAAGGGGGGGGGGGGGGTCCCTTCTTCATCAGAGCTAACCAGACTGGGAAGGCTCACATATAGATGTGGACTATTTATTGAGAAGGGCTCTCTCAGACTGGTTAGCTCTGATGAAGAAGGGACTCCCCCCTTTGAAACGCATCAGCTTCATCCTGAGAGTCTCCCCTCCTGGTGGGATTCGAACGTGTCTCCTAATCCAGGGACTCGTTTCTGGGATTCTATATGACTGTTGTATTGCTACTATTGTGAGTATATTTCCTATATCAATAAATCTACAAATTGCTTACTGAGATAATGCGCAAGGTTGGTGTACTCTGTTTTTTTGTTCTTCACTACACTGTGTTGTCCCTTCAGAGCATGTGACGCAGCCAAGAGCTCCCCTGCGCATGCGTGGGAGTGACTTCATCGCGGCACTGAGCATTCATACTGCCAGAGCCTGCAAACCTGGAAGGAAGACCAGGTGAAGGTGGCGGAGCCGAGGAGCCATGACAGCACAGCACTGGAGGGCTCCGTGTACAGGTAAGTCTGTCATAATGTACTAGTATGTGGTGCATACTAGTACATTATGACCTAAACCTACAGGGGGCCCATTGTTTTGTCTTCTCTCCAATGGGTTACTACCGCTTTAACTGCAGAAGAAACAAATGAGGTCATGCCATGCCAGACAGGACTGTGCCACGTGGTAGAGCTGTGTTCTAGCTGAAGCTGATCTTTGAGACCCGGCAGACAAATGTACAGCAATCTCAGTGCACAAATGTTTTCATGATTTTTGTCATTGAATACAGAATGTTGATGAGATTTATGGTTTATTGCTTAAAGAGGCACTGCAATCCTTGTTACATTGTAAAACACTTTATTAAACAGGATATCGCCTGACATTTCACACAGATCATTGTAAACTTCTCAGACACAGCGCACAACAATCATTCCAAAATCGAATTCTAAACAGAAGACAAATACAATGGAGAAGGGCAAGTAAAACAAAAATGAAGCGCAAATACAAAATATGTGCAAATTTACAGGTACACCACTGACCGGTAGTGCAAAACATTTGCAAAGTTTGTGACTTTTTCAGAACTATATAAGAAAACAGAAGCCTTTGCTTAGAATTATGAAGGGCGGGTAACTGCGAGCAACAGAATCTTTCATTGGCATGACTAGGACTAGGCACAATGATGATCTTAAATTGGGCAGCACAGTAGCTAAATGGGTAGCACTTCCACCTGGTAGTACTAGGGTCATAGGTTCAATTCCCAACCACAGCACCACCTGCCTGGAGTTTGCATGTTCTCCCTGTGCCTGCCTGGGTTTCCTTGAGGTTCTCTGGTTTCCTCCACACACTCCAAAGACATTAGATCCTGCCTAAATTGGCCCTAGTATGTGTATGTATGAATGTGAATTAGGGACCTTAGATTGTACACCCCTTGAGGGTTAGGGATTGATGCAAATGTACAATATATATGTAGAGCACTGCATAAATTGATGGCACTATATAAGTACCTGAAATAAATTAGCTGCTCTGGATAATTGCATACACTTTTTGAAGTGAAGTAGTGGCTAAAGTTATGAAGGGGTTACTGAAACACTATACCATGGGCAGTTATGCCGTTTTGTCCCGTAATTATCAAAAATTTTAATCGCACATCCAAATAGTTTCTACATTTCTAGTAGGTGTCAGGAACATACTTCTATTAGATCTGTCAGAGGCAGGGCAGAGGATGGGGTGGACTGGAGAGGGGGCTGCCCTGGGCGCAATGGTTTACTGTAGGGATGGGGGTGCCTTCCTACTTTTGCAAGGCTGACAGGAATAGTGCAAGTGGCAATGATTTTGAAAAGTGAGTGACTGCTGGGTGTAGGGTCCCCAAAGCTTGCACATCAGGAACAGGATGGGGCCACAATTTGGCATCTTTACTCGGGTGTTGGATGACCTTGTCCGGGCAATGGTCAGAGGGGCAGTCCAATGGTAAACTGAAGGACCTCGGCATGGAAGTCTGGTGACACTGCTGCCGATTGAGAGGCATTGGCCAAGTTTTGTCAGCCTGTCACAGGAAATACTGTTACTATCAGGATTTACAGGAACTTTGGAACAGATTCCGCCCCCCCCCCCCCCAAAAAAAAAAAAAATCTAAAAAAAACAGTAGGCACAATGCCATTTTGGTTTGTATACACTTAGCACCTGACTCAGACTTCAGTATTGATTGGATTATGTAGTATAAAGAGGATGTTTTCTCAGACTTTCACACCTCCCTTCATGTTCTTGGACAATCAGAATCTACCTTGACAGATTTCTTGCATTTATGATGATTAAATTAGTGAGTTAGTTACCTGTGTGGCTATAGTTGGTCTGATATGTCACCGATACTCAATAAAACTGAGCCACGAGTGGTAATATGTCTTCAAAATTAAGCTGGCCAGAGATGGGTAGAATTTTGAATAAAAATTCTTAGGAAAAGAAGGTTCTTTGAAGGTTCACTAGCAGGTCAAATCAAAGTTTGTTTTCCACTGCAGTGATGAGAAAATTCAAAGGAGCAGGATGGAAGTTTTTTCTCAAACTAACGAATTTCTAACAGTGTATGTGGTTTTCGTTTGCTAAAGTCCATTCATTCCAAAATCAAATGTTGAAAGCAAATACAACCTTTAGAACAACAAACTAATGTTCTGTGAATTTTCATATGAATTTTCCTAACTTTTCCTAAGAATTTTTGTTCGAGATTCTATCCATCTATGGTCACCTTTACAAAACATATCCAGTTGGAGTTCATAGCTTCCTCCATCATCATCAGACACAAAGTACAGAAATCCACAACCACAGTAATTATCTGACTGCTGAAAACTGAAATCTGATTTGTACTATTGTGCTCTGTACTGCTATATTGCACCTGTCGGTCTTGAAGGATATTTCCAATTTTGGATACTGTCAGCAAGAAAAGGTCATTTGGACATGCAGCAAACCACTAGCTGCTAAAATAACATGTTTTGATCACGTGCCCGAGACTAAGTGTAGCTCTGTCTATTTTTGTTTTGTTTTGCATGCTTTTTCCTTTTATGTTCTTCCACACCCTTTGGCTGCTCATTGGACTGGTGGACAATAGTAACACAAGGATGATGCCCAGGGGCAGACTGAAAACTCATGGGGCCCCCGGGCAATAGGGGATCATGGGGCCCCTGTGTCCTTGCCCAAACTCAAAAAAGCCTATTAAAAAGGTACTCATGGGGCCCCCTACTGACCCCGGGCACTCGGGCAGTGCCCGAGTTTCCAAATGGTCAGTCCGCCCTGATGATGCCCTTTCATGACAAGGTAACACAAGAGTGATGTCCCTCCATGACAATGGTAACACAAGGATAAAGCTCCTCCATGACAATGGTAACACAAGGATGATGCCCTCCATGACCATGGTAACACAAGAGTGATGTCCCTCCATGACAATGATAACACAAGAGTGATGTCCCTCCATGACAATGGTAACACAAGGATAAAGCTCCTCCATGATAATGGTAACACAAGAGTGATGTCCATCCATGACAATGGTAACACAAGGATAAAGCTCCTCCATGACCATGGTAACACAAGGATGATGCCCTCCATGACCATGGTAACACAAGGATGATGCCCTCCATGACCATGGTAACACAAGGATGATGCCCTCCATGACCATGGTAACACAAGGATGATGTCCTCCATGACCATGGTAACACAAGGATGATGCCCTCCATGACAATGGTAACACAAGAGTGATGTCCCTCCATGACAATGGTAACACAAGAGTGATGTCCCTCCATGACAATGGTAACACAAGGATAAAGCTCCTCCATGACTATGGTAACACAAGGATGATGCCCTCCATGACCATGGTAACACAAGAGTGATGTCCCTCCATGACAATGGTAACACAAGGATAAAGCTCCTCCATGACCATGGTAACACAAGGATGATGCCCTCCATGACAAGGTAACACAAGAGTGATGTCCCTCCATGACAATGGTAACACAAGATTGATGTCCCTCCATGACAATGGTAACACAAGGTTGATGCCCTCCATGACAATGCTAACACAAAGGCCAAGGCTGTTCTTAAGGGGGTACCACCAATCCTCCTGTACAGGGCCAGGCCAGCAGGGGGGCCCAGGTAGCTATGGCTCTTTCTGCAGCAGCTGAAAGCTGACTTCTTCTCCTCTCCCTCCCACTGGCTTTCAGCTGCTGCAGAGAGAGCCATACAAGGGACTGGTTCCAGTAATTGTCCCGCCCCCTGCCACACCCATCCTCCTCCTTGCGCACCATATGTTTCCCCCTGCTGCCCAGGTCCCCCTTTGTGCCCCCACTTCCAAAGTGCTTCCCTCCTCTCCTTTCCACCAGCAGCAGCAAGCATACAATAGGATCCTATAGGATGGGGAGTGGGGGAATGTCACATTTACCAGCCCTTTCCTTTACAGATTGAACACAATGAGTGATCGGTACCGATCACTCACTGTGTACATTCATAACTGAAGCATAGTAAACGGTTTATTTGTGTGTGAGTGTGGGGGGGGGGGGGGGGGGGGCGGCTGTCAGGTTGGCTGTATGGGACCTCGTGGTTCCTAACAGCAGCCCTGACAAGGGTGATGCCCCTCAATGACAATAGTAACACAAAGATGATGTCCCTCCATGAAAATGGTAACACAAGTGTGGTGCGTCTCCATGAGCTCTCTCCACCCTGTAAGCCTAGCTAATCGACTCCATTACATTAAACCATGCATCCGTACTATTTTAAAAAAACTACCAATATTATAACCTTGGGCAACTTTCTAAGCAATAACTTCTTATCTATTACATGAGTCTGACATCACAAAAACTAAGCATTGCAATTAAACATAATGCAAGATAACAACAGTAACATGCTCTTTGACATGAAATAAAAATACAAACATCCTATGATTTTCGTTAGGATTACATAATCATACTAATATACAAAATAAAAGGCTTTTGTTGCAATTCAATAAATGAATGTGGGTATTATTATTTTTACACTCTGCTTTACTATTACTATTATTATTATTTTTTTTTTTTTTGCTCAAATCTCCCTAAAGTGAGTCAACCCAAAGCTAATTTATTGTTTGATAAGGTGTCAAGAAGAAGCACCTGCTGTTTTATGTTACTAGCTGGTGACTCCGGTGGGAAGGTTCTGCAGAACATATATTACCAAAAGAAATAACATTATTAATAATAATAATAATAATAATAAATGTTAACAGTGAGAACACATTTCTTGTGCTGGCCTTAACAGGTGGGTGACACTAGGGACACAAGCAAGATGATTTCACGACATTAGCCTCCAAGACAAATAAGATAAGTAGGTGGATAAGTGAGTTAAAGCGGTTGTAAACCCCAGACATGAAATATGAACAAAGCATTTGGAGCCTGTAAAGCATTGCACCTACAATCAGCAGATCACTGGTGCTATGCAGGTCTCCTGCAGACTGTCAGTTTACTGCTTCCCGACCGCCGTATAGCAGATATACTGCTACAGGGTGGCATGGGTGCGCAGAATCATGTATATATACGTGATTTTGCAGTTCCAGGAAGGGGGGCGCGCTGCCATTTGCGGCTGTCAATCACCGGGTCCCGGCCGGTGATTACTCGCCGGTGCCCGGTGATTGGCGAGCATCTCCAATGGTGAGGAGAACTGTATGTAAACAAAACAGTTTTCCTCATTGTCAACTCGTGCACACAAGTGTGATTACAGTGAATAACACACACACAGAGCTTACAGTGAAACAGCACACAGTTAACCCTTTGATAGCCCTCATGTTAAGTCCTTCCTGCCCAGTGCCATTAGTACAGCGTCAGTGCTTTTTTTTTAGCACTGATCACTGTATTGGTGTCACTGGGGATGTCAGTGACACTAAGTCAGTTCCCCCCAGTGTCAGAATGTCTGCGGCAGTCTCGCTATAAGTCGCTGATCGCCGCCATTACTAGTAAAAATAAAAAAGTCCTAGTATAGATAGCGCCATTTGTAAACACTATAACTTTCACATAAACCAATTAATTTACACGTATTGGGATTTTTTGTTTAGCAAAGACAAGGAGCAGAATACATTTTGCGCTAAATTTATGATGAAATTTGATTTTTTAAATTTTTTTATTGGACACGTTTAATAGCAAAAAGTCACAAATATTGTTTTTCTCAAAACTGTCGGTCCTTATTTTTTTATAGCGCAAAAAATAAAAAATGCACAGGCGATCAAATATCACCGAAAGAAAGCATAATTCATGGGAAAAAAGGACGTAAATTTAATTTAGGTGCAGCATTGCATGACCGCGCAATTGTCAGTTAAAGTAACGCAGCGCCGTAACGCAAAAAAATGGCCTGGTCAGGAAGGGGGGTAAATAGTAGGAGCAGACAGTTTAACACTCACAGGAAGACTCTATGAACTACCACAATGCTCCACAGGCAGTGTAGTAGTTCACTGCAACTACAAGCTGACATCCGCAAAGTATGCTGGTACCTACAGTTCATTAATTCACTCTGTGAATGAATGACGCGGCCGTGTGGGTGGAGCCACGCACAGCCACGCTGATATAAAAAACTGACAGATGGTACGGGGTTCTTCTCCCCATAATGCTGTCACAAGGGTAGGGATCAAGCAATGGTTGCATCCTTGGGAACATGTTACAACACTTTGCACATTTTTCACGTCGTAACTATTCTCTAAACTTCTAGTAACTCTATGGCAGGATATGGTCCTATTACAGCACTAGTAGAACCATTCTTTACAAATAGATTATATTCTAATCTCAATGAGCATCACCCAGTTTGGACAAAGACTTGAAGTTATTCTATGCATTCACCCACATTTTTAATGGCATGTATTCAAGACTGTAATGTAAGTTTTATTGGATATGGGCGTACGTCTGTATTTTGCCTGTGTTCCATAGTTATGAAATCAAAACAGTTCTGTATTTTCATTTTGAATCATTAACTTCTAGTGTACTGAAAAATGGAGTTGAACTTTAAAGTAGAAGTGTAAATACATTTTGAAACAAGCCCAAATTGATCTTTGTAGCTGCAGCCACTGTGGAATAATTCGTCCTCAAAGGTTGACCCTGAAACTTCACCGTTCTACTTTTACTTTCTCTCTGTAGCTCAGCTCTCTCTTCCCAGCAGTTATTTTGGCATCCTGCCAACCTTCTAAGTGCCCGGTCACACTGGTGCAATTTGCGAATTGAAATCGCATCTAATGAATGTGAATGGAGAAGAAAAGACACCGCTCTCACCTCCTGTACAGTCCAATGTGTAGAGGATGGCCTCAGCCGTCATGCTGGCCACACCCTCTGATACATTTCATCCCGCCCACCAGGGGCTTGTGATAAAGCCCCCGGAGGGCGGGATGAAATGCGTCAGTGGGCGTGGCTGGCGTGATGACTGAGGCCATCCTCTACACGCAGGACCGTACAGAAGGTGAAAGCGGTTTCTTCTCTCTCCATGTAAGTGACTGGACTGACACTGGGGCACTGCTCCCCTATATCTGCCGATTTCTTTGACATTCAGCTTCCGAGCGGCACTACTACATCTCATGCTTCAGTAATGAATGTGAATGTCAACGTCTTAACGTGCGATTCGCTTCAGCGCGATTTCTAAAGTAGTTCTTGCATTACTTTTTCTGCAGTTTATTGCAATTTACATACATAGAATATAATGCAAATCACAAGAAATCATTAAAAATCTTCACAAGTCACAATAAAGTCTTCAGAAAGCATACCTGAAATGGTACGCAAATCGCACGATTTTAAATCATAGCAGTGTGACTGGCAGCCTTTCTTAGCTGTGGTTCTGTGGAATCCTGGGGTCCCTTCTGAGGTTGCTAGAGGTCCCTTGAACAGTGAGCACCTACTCTGACCACCAATGGAAGGGGACACCTCTAAACTGACCAATAATGTTACTTCTCTCCTGTCTGCATATTAATATCAATTTAATTTTACAAAACTTTGTGATGTACAGAGCAGGAAGGTGCAAAATATAAACCGCCCCGGGTGTCAAATATGCCATATTACTTAGTCTTATATTTTAAAGAGTAACTCCACTTTTGTTGAGAAAAAAAATTCCCCCCTCCGGGCAATCCATGTACGTTGCAGGGATTTTAACAAATTTTCTTATAGATTCCTGCCTTTTGTCATTTTGAAAAAATATCTGTTTGTTTCTCTGTGTCGATGGGGCTCTAATGAGGAAAGTGGCAGGGTCTGCATCCCTTTAGATGTGATTTTCCTTTGGAAATACCTCACCAAAAAAAATGACATTTTTGTTGCAGGGGATGCCCAAAATGTTACTTGTAATGCAGACTTCAGGGAAAATCAGTGAGCCAATCATACAAGCAGGAAATGATAAATCTGGGGGGCTTTCTGTACAATATATGTGTACAGAACTCCTCCAGGTTGCCATACTGCATTTTACAGAAATTTACAGCTCTGCAGATTTGTGTAGCAATTATACAGAATATGCTATATTCATTTTTTTCATTTGCTACTTTTTCCCGTGAAAGTGGAGTTACCCATTAAAGCATTTTACAATTTTAGTGATCAGGCTAATGTACTGTGAACGGTAGGTACATTCTTTTTTCCAGAGGTTCCCTGAGACTAGAAAAAAAAAAATTAAAGGATACAAAAAAAGATTGAGAATGTCTCTGCATATGTAATCAGAGGGAAGGTGCACAGGAAGTGGGGAGGACAGAGTGCTGAGCCCTGATCTGAACAGCTTCATTGCTTCTTTTCTAAAGTTTGAGGATGAACTGCTCCAAGGTAGCTGACACTACAGAGGTCAGTGAGGGCATGTTTTAAAGCTTTTTTTTTACTGCTTGTTAAGAAATTGCAAATAGTTGAATGTCCATAGCCTGGCCACAATTCTACTTTAATGAAAACTGAACAGTTGGGTAACACGGTTTGAAAATTATTAACTTGCTAAGGGCCCAGTTACACCAGTGCTTTGCAGTATGGCGTGAGTT